AGTGAGAAAGAGCTGTTGAAAATTGATGAGCTTTCTCAATTCAATAAATAAAGTCTTGCGCCATTCTCTCGTGGATATATGTCACGATTTGTGACCGAACCACGTTAAATTGTTATGCTATGTGAATGCATATTGCTGGATTTTTCATTCTATGTTCTTGCTTTGATATTGTGTAGTTTCCATTTATTGTTTAAATTAATATGAATGTACAATAGTTGTAAATGTTATAAACCCTTGTTGATTTTTCACCAATCAATCACAACACATAGAATAAGAAATCCAAGAACATGCATTCACAAAGCACAACAATTTAACGTGGTTTTGTCACAAATCGTGACCTACATCTACGGGAGAATGACATAAAACTTTATTTACTGATTTAAGAGGATTACAACGTGAAATCGAGCTCAAAACATCAATTTCCAGCAACCATTTCTCACTCTAAACATGACAAAAAAGCAAAGCACCAATAACACTAAAAAATTGGTTCTTTTTAACACTTTATCTCAATAAAACAGGGCACACAACAAACCCACAATGGGCTCAAACTTTTGCTCACTTTCTTTCTCTAAAATAGAACATACAACAACCTTCAAGAGAAAACCCAATTGCAGCCCAATAAAACATGGATACAGCAAACCCACAATAGGCCCAAGTTTTTGCCTCTCTAAAACAGAGCATACAACAGCCATAAAGAGAAAACCCAATTGCTGCTCAATCTTTCAATCTTTTTTTCACTCTTTATCTATCTAAATAAAAGGACCATTTTTAAAGAGTAAAGTTCCTACAATGCCATAGCCTTTCTCACTCTTTCTCTCTCTAAATGACCATTTTAAAAGAGTAAAGTTCCTACAACACCATAACCATTGGATTAAATGCAGTCCAATGGCTCAAAATAAAAAAGATAAAGTCAAATAAAATACCCACAAAAGTGATTTATCTTCACACATGTAACATCCCAACATATCGCCAACTCTCTATCTTTTATCTCTCCACCTCTTCACCATATACCCAGCTCTTTTTATCCTTGCAACAGACAACCTACTCTCTTTACTTTGCAACATAGATCCACTTCCTCTCTCTCTCCCTCTACCCCTTTCACTATACACCAAACTCTCTCTCTACCCTTGCACCATAGATCCAATTCTCTTTCTCTACCCTCTGCAACATATCTTTTCGAGTTGAAACGGGTTTGGGTAGAGAAAGAGAATTGGGTGTGCTTGGACTCGATCGAGTTTTCCCCAAACCTGGACTCGATGCAAAATTTATGAAATATATAAAATATTTATACTAAATAATATATAGAATACAATTTCCTTTCTAAAAAATTTCTAGACCTGTGTCCATTCTAAATGACATGGATGGGTCCAAGTCACTTGGACTCGATCGGGTCCAGGTTTGGGGAAAACTCGATCCGTTGCCAACCTTAACCCACAGTCTCTCTCTTTTCTCTTTTGTCGAACCTTTTCCAAAAAATTGGCCATTGTCAAGATTAGTAGTAGCTCCTCGTGAACAATCACGCCAGATCCCCTTGTTCACTAAACTCTAAGGAGTAAAAGGGATCTGCTCGTTGGGATTGGAAACATAGAGAGAGATATATTTATGGGGTGTGCTTCAAGAGGAATAGAGATGCAAAGGAACATGGTATTGAAAACCGGGGGCAAATTTCTACAATGCACTCCGATGTTTCTAATATCAAAATGGCTAAAAAATTGGGTGTCCTATATTCGGGGCATTAGAATGCCATAAAGTTTATAAAAATAAAAAAAATAAAAAATTATTCGACGTTTACACCTTCAAATTGTGGGAAAAATTAAAATAAAAAACCAAAAAAAAAAAGGACACGGGCATAAAATTAGAAATTTTTTATGCCCTGAGGTATTTCCACAAATTATTTTGAAATCCATACAAAAATTTTCCGATAGAAAAATAGAGAGCTTTTTTTCTTATATTGTAGAGAGAGAGACTTTTTTTTTTTGGGTAATTCGGTGGGGAAGACAGGCCCTACCCATTTTTTCATATAGTTTAGGAGTTATTTTTTTTTATGATGCTAATAGAGTATGTGGCAGTGAGAATGAAACTACGATATAATGATCAGGGTGTGAGGGTGCTACCACCATAACCTCCACTCCTTTCCCAAAAAGAGACTTCTTTTTCTGAAATCAGAAAAGCCTTCATAGAGGGAATGGGGTTTCTTTAAAGGGAGTGGAGAATGAAAGAGAAAAGTTTCCTTTCGCTTTACAGGATTAAAAGAGAGGGAGAACACAAGGGTCCACGAAGAGGGATTAGTGAAGTGAATACAATTTTAAGATACCCAAACAGCTTATAGATGCTATAAAATAAAATGACAATATTTTCCATTTCAGGTTGTATAAACCATATAAGTTTTTTATGAGAAGAATTTTAAATGCATCCAAACTAGCCCTTATTAATACCATCGGAGCACCTAATGAGCTTTAAATCCATATAATTTTCAAGAGAAAAATTGTTGAAATCTAAAAGATTCGAGGACTTTTATCTTCACTGCAGTAAAATAACAAATATGGGTAGCAAACATAGTTTAATTCAATTAAACACTTATCAATATCTAAATTACATGAAATTCGAGTTGAAGGTTTTTCAAAATGTTATGCACTAACGACCAAATTTCATCGGATAGAACTCAAGCTCAAGCTCATTCTCATTTGTTAATGGGGAATGGTGGGAAATGAACTAAGGTACCGGTTTTTGAACCAGTGAATAAGTGGTGGATGAAAAGATAAACAAGAAAATGGTTCGAAGTCAGAAGTCCAAGGTAGGGATGGATTTAACTTTTTGTTGTGTTTTTTGCCTTTAAATTTCTATTGTTGTTTTTTTAGTTCTCTTCAAAATCCCGACCCAATAAACTTCTATTTTAATTTTTATTAATTCATTTATTATTTAAATATTTTATGGATCATTGATTCAGACGAATTGAGATTTAATTAAATTTACCGATCTAACGATCCGACACAAATGTATGGGTACACACTCAACCCTATGAATATGAAATTTGAAACACTGATTTTAAAGGAGGGTGTGGTTTCTATAAGGATACAACCTTTAACAATCCAATTAAGACGCACCTCCAAATTTTATTATAACATGTAATTTTGGTGTTAAAAATTCTTAAGATTATCTCAAAATCTATTTTTATATCTAATTATAAAGTTTTAAACTAAAAAATAGTTAATATCAAATAGATCTATAAACACATAAAAAACTTGAAAATAGACGGTCTAGATAATGTATTGCAAGATCCACTATTTTTAATAGTCAAAATCTCACATTTTTTTTCATATTCACTTATCTCAATGTCTTTTTTCATATTCACGCATCTCAATATCAAGACAACATTTTTCTGATGGACTTTTTGAGGCGCATCTTTAATTGTACATTTTAATGTTGTTAACTTTATATAAACTTTTCCCGTTACAGAAATAAACATTTAACACGTGTAGAGGGGCCTTTTGTGACTTGTGGCTGAAAGCCACATAAAAAGTTCTTCTTATTTGTTGGGTATCGGTATTTTATTCGTGTATTATTTTATTGGGACTTATTTTATAGTATTTAAAACGAAATCGAAGATCTTCTAAAATAAATTATCATTTCCCAGGGGACCCATTTATTTGTCCTATTTAAAAGACATGAATTTTTCTCATTATCTCTTTGACTATCTTTTATATTTTAAAAAAATTATCATAAATATATTTTAATTTTTATTTATTTAAATTTTTTTTTCAACTTTTATATATCTCGTCCATATCTTTTTTTTTTTTAATTTTAGACATTTTTTTTATCAAAAATAACATTCTAAGTAGTCATATTACCGTGAGATTAGAAGATTAGAGCAATCTTGTGGCATATTCTCTTTCTACCTCTTTGAAGTCGTAGTTATCCGATAAAATAAAAGGAAACAACTAATTTGAGCACCTAAATGTAGAAAAAATCTCAAGGACTATAAATTTACCAAAAAAAAGATCTTGAGTAAAGGGAAGAGAGAGAATAAAAAAACTATTTTTACCTATGTAATATAGAGAGAGAGGATATACAGACGCATAAGAGACAAAATTATTTGAAAGAATAAAAAATTTAAAATTTTTGATTATTCAAAAACCAAAATTAACCTTAGTTTTGGTTGTTGAACAATCGAAAATACTTTGAATTCAGCTATTCAACAATTGAATTCAATATGGGTGTAGTGCACTACCGTTTGTTTTTGATCATGGACGGTGAAAATTAACCAAAGGCCTGTTGTTCACTTAAGTGGTGTAGTTCATATATGTTTGTGGAGGTTATACATCTACTCCCTCTGATCAAGTCCTATTTGGGAAGATAGTTTTAGTTCAAAATTATATGATCTCCCTAAGAATTAATAAAAAAGAAAATTTTGATTTTCAAGTTCTTTGACACTTAAATCTCACAAAAATTAGATGGTATGTTCAATGTTTAATATGCTACCCTTTCAAGTACACATAGAGTCCCATTTAGCAATGGGATTACATACAATGAGACCATTTTTATCTGATACAAGAAGGTAGCTTGGTGTGTCATAAAGTTCGAGATAATTTATTTTGAATTTTAAGTTTGGTCAATGAAATAAATACAGCCACTTAATTTTACATTTAATGATCAAAATTAATTGTGATTACTTTATATCAAACATAAATAATTTTATTATATACTTTTCCTTTAGAAATATATATTGTCCGTTGATCCTTTACGTGACCAAAACTAGGGTTCCTAAAATGGCTTTAGATTAGGTGCTTTTAGCTTAGAGAGTAAACAGACAGTATACTCTGGCGGAGGTATAAAATCTTTTGGGTAATACTTTATTGCGAATTTACCTCCAAAATATCGCCCAACCGCGGACAGTTTGGGTAATTTTTGAATTAAACGCAAGGACACAACTACCGGTCACTGTTCGCAAAGTCGTGATGTACCGGGGCATTAATTCCCTCATAAAAGCCTGCGTATTTTCCCTTAAAAAAAAATCCCCCTTTTCTCTCTCTCGCTCTTTCTCTCGCAGAGTTGAACCTGTTTCAGCTCAGTTTCTCTCCAATCATGGCTAATGAACTCATGGATCACGGGTTTCTGAAACATGGCTGTTTTCGAGCTTGTGTCCAATGGCTTACCATGTGACTGGCGATTCATTGACGGTTAGAGCGAGAAAGAAACGTGGTTCTTTTTACTGCAAAATTGCCTCGTTTTCCTAGTTGGGTGTTTGAGTTCTCAGAAACAATGGAGTGAATCCAACTCGGGTTCAATGGCTTATCCTTTGGAAGATCTTTCAGATATGCTTAGAGTGAGAAAGACTAAAGGTCGTTGGGTTGTTTACTTTGCCATCCTTCGCCGAATTGGGGATTTTGATTTTTTGTGAAACAATAACAGAGAGAAACCAATTGGGTCTAATTATTCGTTATGCCTAAGCCTATTCCGAGATAATTAGAGAGAGAAAGTGAAGTGGTTCCGAGAGAGAAACCAGGTGTGGTTGTTTTCCCTTTAAAGCTAATCTCTGGATTGGGATTTTGGGTTTATTGAAGAATGGAGGAAGGAAGCGAGGATAGTTACAGGTTGTTATCTTCTGAGTCGAGATGGGTGGATGGGAGCGAGGTCGATTCTGAGTCGCCGCCGTGGTCTGTAGAGGACCAGGTTTTGACAAATGAAGAGCTTGGAACAGTTAGAAGAAGGCTCACCAAGAAACCAAAGAGATTAGATTCTTTGGATGTTGAAGCCATGGAGATTTCTGATGCTCATGGCCATCATTCCAAGGTTTTCCCCATGTCCTTTAACTTCTCTTCTTGTAGAAATCATACCGTTTCTACAATTTTCTCTCTTTAATTGCTTCATTTTGAACGGACATTTAAAATAAGTGGTGGTGCTTTATTATACTACTAAGGTTGTTGGAAGACATGTTTTATTTTTTAAAACTAGTGTTAGGAATATATATTGGTATTCAATTTCTTCTGAGTGAATTGAAAGTATGTGTTGTTCTCAATGTTGCAAAACCCTGATTAATTGAAGAAACTTTTTATATAATGGCGATATTCTTTAATGGAATTTCACATACAATTTAAACATTTCTATATGAAAATGGTTCCACTATATAGTTAGTTTGTTATATTAACAATGCCTTAGTCTAGGTTAGAGGGGAAATCCCCAAATATAATATTTTTAATATTCCATTTAGTCTTTGCTGAAATTTATGGCTCCTTTTGACATGTTTAACATGATGGCATTTTAAGGGGAGTGCATTTCTAGGAAAGCAGACTACTTGGTTTGGTATTTCTATCAACTGGTGGGTCCACCACGAACAATTATGCAAAATTGAAAGTTCTGATATGCCTAGATGGTTTAGATATTTTGACAATTCATATATCAGCTCAAAAGGCTATACTTTTCTCTTTGGAGTGTTTATACCACTCCCATGGTTGGCATTTCATGGCAAATTGCTGAAGGCTTGTTGCCTCGTAGACTCCCATCATGACACAGCTCCTGCTATTTCCCCAATATTTGGTTCTACACTTGAAAGGGTCGTAAACTCTTTTATATTGGTATGAATCATAAGGGTTTCTATTTAATGGTAGCTCCAACGGGTAATAAAGTAGTGAGAACTAAGAAGTAAGGACACTCCCCCCCCTTTGTTTCTTATGTAATAAGGGAGTAAGCACTAGCATTTTGATGATACCAACCATCGATATAATGTCAAAATTTCTTGAATCAAGCATGAGAAGCTTGTTTAAGACCACATAACGCATTCTTGACCCTGTAAACTGAGTGGAGGATGGGAATGATGACTTGGGGATTGCCTCATGTAAAGGTCCTCCTTGATTTTGTCAAGGAGGAATTCATTTCAACATCCATCTTAAATCCTAAACCTTATATGTAGAGAATGGTAAGGCAGCAAAATTTTTGATGATTTTGCCTAAAGGCTTCTCATAACATGGGTCATACTCCAATAGACAATAGCTCATTAGAAGATCCATGCTGGTTGAAGCTGTTGTTCGGCTTCTTGAAGGCCCTTAGTAGAGGCCACTTTACAACATACAACATTGAAGACTTAGCAGCGTCATTGAAGCTTTTGCATGGTTCAGGAAAATATGAGTCCCTTTGAAGATTTACGGCAGCCATGCTCCCAGACAAGCCGCCTCCTAAGGCAGCTCATGTCAAACCTCCTCCTCTATATGACGTTTACCATGTACTTATCTACTCTTCTTCTAAACCTCAGGCCGCAGCTCGCGTCAAACCTCCTCCTCTATATGACATTTACTATAAACTTATCTACTCTTCTTCTAAAACTTAGGCTGACCGCCCAACTCATTCACCTGTAAAGGAGGTCACTGTCTCCAAATCTTTCGTTGAGGTCGTAGCAACAAAAATCCCAACCCCTCCTGACCTACTCTCCCTTCTAACCCTAATACCACTATAAAATCCATCCATCCTAATCTGCAAGTCTTCTGTGTGAACTGTCCCCCATGTTTGGCTCTCCAATTTCGCTGAAATTCAAGAGCGGCTCACATTATTGTGTGATGATTTTGTAGCCCAAAGGAACGACCTAAAAAGCATCACAAATGGCTCCAAAACACCTTTAGGCTGGGTCATCTTTCATGTAGGCTCCTGCATAACGGGAGTTACCTAGTCTCACAATTCCACTCTCTGGCTAATCTTTCTAGGAACAACTTTCACTTCCGTGGGGGCTGTTTAACACTGAGGAAATGAGAGGAATCTATGGATGCAGTGAAGAAAACTAAACTTTGGTTAGCCATAGAAGGTATCTCTGTTCATCTGTGGACTCAACAGGTCTTCAAAGTTATTGGTAATTACTGTGGGGAGTTCATCACTGTTCATTTGATATCTCTTGGGCTCCAGGTTATCATTTTGGTGGATTCGTCCCAAAAAGACTCGATTTCCTCAACTCTTCTGTTACACTTCAGTGGCCATTATTTTTTGGTCAAGATTTCGATTAAGGGTTCCTCAGCTCCCATTCGCCATGACTCCCCTCTTGCTGACCACGAAGGGTGGATCATGGTGGTTCACAAAAAGCATAGCCACCCTCATGCGGACCAAAATCTGGCCCATTTGAGTGGTCCAGTTCCTTGCTTCCCTCCGGACTGCCATGATCTAGAGTTCCAAGATCCTATCGAAGGTCCTCACCTCCTCGTACTGCCTTCTCTTATCGGGATTCACTCGTTGTACCTCGATCTTATCAGTCCATCATCACCTTTGATTTGGGTCCTTCACATGCTTGGTCGTGCCTTCCACTTGTTGCTCTCCAACTTTGCCTACATTTAATTCTTCCCCATACTTGTCATCACCCCCTCTCCCTTCTCAGGCTTCATTAAATTTATCCTCTCCTCGGGTAGACCCCTTCGCTCTTCAAACCATACCCTCATTTATTGACCCCGATGTGCCTTCTCAGCATGTGCCGCCTTTTTCCTCGATAGCTCAACAAATATTTAATGCATTGTCCTTTCCCTATGTGCACACTCAATCCACTCCTCCCCCTCTGTCCTCGTGGCTAGCCACGTGGTCCGCATCACCTATCAAAGTCCCCTGCCAGCTGTCCGCATCGCCCTACTAGCCTCCACATCCTGCCTTGTCTCTTCATTTCCCTCCTCAAAACTTGTTCCCTACGAAGGAACCGCCACCCCTTCGCCTACCTCCTTTACTCCTTCCCCTCAGGCTTCTTTTATCTCCTCTTACACTTCTCTTGACGTCCCTTCTCCTACTCGAGTTGTAACCCCTCCAACCCACCATGGGTTTCCACCAGAAGCATACCACAACGTCCAACTGGTGGTCTACAATGGACACTAGGTCACACCGACCACCCTTCTACCTCCATCCTCTTCTCTACCCTACCAGCCTTCTACACTCCCTCTCCCTCCTCCTCCTCCCTCCCCTAAGATGCCTCCTAGACACAAACTGCAACTCATCCGCCCTGGCCGAGCCTCCAAGGAACCTAATCTGGCGCATCCCTCTATTTCAACAATACCCCCTCCCAGTTACGCTCACAGTGCAGCTTTTTCAGCCCACCCTTCTTCCGGGCTTGGTCCCCTTCCCCTCTATATCTTCTTAGAATCTTCCCCCATTTCCCCTATCCTCTCCAACACTTTTGCGACCCCACTCCAAACCCCAGTGGCACGGGAACCCTCAGATTTACACACTCTAGTTCCTCTCCCCTTGGAGATGCGTTTGGCATTAAATGTGTACAACTCCTCAGTAGGTAGGATTCCCCCCTTCATCCCTCCATTAGAGTTCTCCTCACAAAACCTCTCCTCGCAAGCTCTATCCTATTCTTTGCCCCCAATCCTTACACCTATTTATTTGCAGACTCTTCCTTCTGAGAACCCCTTGCCTCATCCTCATTCAACTTCCCTGCTCCCAACTCTAATGGAGGCTCCAGATCCACGACCTCCTCAGGTGCTAAAGAAGACTTCAACTTTGACATTCAATTCCTTACGACCCTACCTCAATGGATTCCCAATAACTAATGAGGATCGACCTGGGAGAACCTCACATGGGTTAGATGATCCAGATGATGGGCCTTGCTTATGACGGAAGTATCTCCGACCTCATAGATGCCTCAGAGCGGAGGCAGGCGCACCTTAGGTTGGCCCCTCTCCTAAACTTCCTAAAGGCTTTAGAGAACTTGCTAGTATTTGCTCTGATATAAACTATTATATCCCTTCCCCTATACCTCAGTATGTTCCCCTTTTAGCCTCCTTCTCTCATCGCCCTAAGAAGAGAAGGTTTAACAGGAATACCTCTCTCCCTTCCCAAATCTGCCCAATGAAGATCCTTTGTTGGAATATTGAGGGGCTCAGAAGCCCTGCCAAATGCAGTGGAATCCGATCCCTTGCGATGAGCCATAGCCCACCCCGATTTTTTAGCTCTCTTTGAAACCAAACTCCCTGCTCCTCAGCCTCTCATGATTAGGGAAATTTGGGGAGGAAGCTATATTCCTGGATCGCAAAGGACTCCTCTAGATCCTTGGGATGCATTTGGGTTCTGTGGAACCCAATTTTTTTCAGGCTCTCTCCTACTCCATTAAAGAATTCTCTATCAACATTCTTTGCCATAGGATTTTTGATAGTGCCATGCTTAAAACCTCCTTCATCTATGGGCCTAATTGTCCCACGAGATGTCTTGAGCTTTGGCCTTGAATTGCGGTATGAGGCTCTGGCTCCTATTATACCTTGGGTTATAGGTGGGGATTTTGATGTGGTTAGGTGGACCCATGAGAAAAGCTCTGGAGAACACATAACTGTGTCCATGAGAGCCTTCACAAATTTTATTGATAGTAACCCTCTCCTTGACATTCTTCTATTAGGAGCTTCCTTCACTTGGTCCAAACATGCCACCACACCTGTCCATGACTAAAATTAATAGGTTCCTTGTTTCCAAGAAATCCTCTTTCCTTATTACCCACTCTTCCGCCCTTCCCAAAATTACCTCTGACCATAAACCAATTCTTTTAGACACTAACCCCATTTAGAGGGTTAATAAGCCTTTTATGTTGGAGCTCTTCGAATTGGAGGAGCCTTCCTTCCCACATCTTGTTAGGAACTGGTGGTCTTTCTTTTCGGTTACGGGTTGGGTAGGCTTCAGATTCTCCAAAAAACTTCAGCTTCTTAAGACATCTATTAAACAATGGAGTCGTAGTGTACCCCGGGTAACTTTAGGCAACAAATTCAGGCCTATTCCACCCAAATCCATTTCCTAGATGCCCTTGAACAATCCAGAGCTCTTCCCCCTTTCATCTCCTCAAACAA